ATAATAATAATATAAATAAATTATTTCACGTTGTGGGCTCTTACTCTGGATCCAGAGTGAACCTGGCTCTTACAATAATTTCAAAAATATATTAAGCGGTGCTCATTTTATAACCTGAAACTAACTTAGATCTATCTTGAAAAAACAAAATATGACTTTTTTTTTCATTTCAGGATCTCTTTGAATAGTATAATGTTGCCAACACATTAATGTTATTTTCCCCAAATCACCATCCTATTTCTTTCCCAGCAATTTTTCATGTTTTTTCCCCATGCCCATTTGGTTACTTGGCGTAAAAAGCTTTCTCAGCAGGTGTAATACATGTAAAACATGTAAGATGCAGTATGTTGGTTTGGGATATTTTCTTGACAGCTTCTTGAGTTGCCCAGGTTAATTCATAACTTCTCACTTTCAGCACCTTGTCTACTTCCCACTTCAGGGACAAGAAGATGTCTTTAGCTCTACTGTAACCCGAATTATTCCCTAAAACCTTTACTGGGTTTTTTTTCTTTTTTTTCTCTGAGCCACTGCTACCTGGCTCTCCGACTAGCTTCATGTTTCCATTTATGCATTCACATTTCAGCTGTCTCAATTCTGCTACTTCTGGAAGGCAAACGACACTCCTTTAGGTCCCTCGGACCTGATGATATGTAATGGCTACAATTCGGTTCCTTGCTTCCTGTGTAGCAATTGCGTCAGTTCTCATTTTGTACGTGAGTCGCTCCAGGGTGATAGATGATGAAGTTTCTCCAGGTTGGGGAATTCTGGCATGGATTTGCTTCTCATTCGAGTACCCAGTTCGGATACCTCAGGTTCATCTCCCAATGTTTCAGTTCTCACGCTCTCCCTTGCAGCAACACGGGAGCAACAAACCACCAGCCTGCTCCTCGGAATGGTAAAAATCTCACGGCAGCGCTAAAGCACCGGCATCTCAGTCACTTTGTGCACTTAACCTTCACGTTCAAACCTTTGTTATTTTGCGAGTTACAAGCTATTTCCTGATAACTGCTCGGTGTTTTCCAACAGACCAACTTCTTTTATGTAGATCAAGCTATCTGTGTGCACGACAAACCCAGTATTAAGGTATTGAATCTTACATTAGAAGCGCTGGGTACTTCTACCTTCAACCTGATTTCAGAATGTCC